TCAAATATCTGGTAATATTTGACACTCTACTCTAACTTTTAAGAGTGCAGAACTAAAAATCTGACAGTTCTGAATCTTTGAGTAGGACTTCTTGACCATGACCTTCATTGTAGGGTGATCTTGTTGAGGTCCTCCTTTGGGTTTGCCTCAAGATTCTCTTCAGAGACCAGTTCCTTTACTTATAATTCCAGAGAGTCCTGGTGCCTCTATTTTCTTGGTGAACCTCAAAAGTACTTCCAGTCACAATAGTGACTTTAAAACCTATGTCTAGGCCCTGGTGTAGTGGTACATGTTTGCACTCAGGAGGCTGAGGCAGAACGATCATTGTGAGTTTGAGACCAGCCTGGGCTACACACAGTGAGTTCAAGGCCAGCCTGGACTACAGAACAAGACCCTGTCTCAAAAAACAAACAAAAAATTCACTGGGAAACATAATGCTTTTTTCTTTTCAATGATAAGAATTTATTACTGGTATTTCACAAATAATTTCTGGTTTTGCTCAGCGTTGTGAAGATATTCCTACGCTTGATCTAGACAGAAGGCTGAGAAGCAATGAAGATATTCCTGTATTATTTATTCAAACACTAGGAAGGACAATGAGCCTCAAAATAGTATGCTAAATTAAGTATGTATACTTTTCAAGTCTTTTAGAGTCAATAGCTTTTATCAGTTTCGTGATCCCCTGATTGACCCAAAGGAGAGTTCAGCAAAGCCAAAAACAAACAAAAATTCAGCTTTTTTAAAAAAACATAGCCATTCCTAACTAAACCTTGTATTTATACCAGAAAAAGTTCCAGGAAAAGACTCTTATTTAACAGAATGCTCCTTATGCTGACCTTTACATGGTGAAGTTGGCCCAGAATAGCTTGGTTGCAATACTGGAATGATGGCATCCACTTGTATATATCAGACACACGTAAGACAGATGTTCATTCAGAAGCACTTTTGTCCTGAGTAATTAAGTGTTCCATTTCAGTTCAATCAACTCCTTAATGGCTTTAGATCCCCACACCTCCCCCTGTGCTAAGTTGGCTTCATGCATGCTAGACAGACACTTCACCACTGCTCTGTACCCCAACTTATGCATGATTCTCAAACTTTAGAATATATCAGAATCTAAGATGCTTTAAAAATCAGATTCTGAGAGTTTATTCACAGGACTTTGATTCCTTAGATTGGAGAAGGAGTTTACATTTTTAACAGTTAATCTTTGGTTCTCCTGATGTAAATGATCAGTGGATTATATTTTAAAATACACAAATCTAAATTTGCTACTCATAATAAAATGAAAGTTTTGTTTTGTTTGTTTAGAAGAAAGGGGATTGGGAAGATTGGTTGTCTGCTTTTAAATATAATTCACTCCACTTTTCCCCCCTTGTAGCGCTGCTAGGCCTGCAGGTCTGTGAAGAACCGCATAAGCGGGTCTTTATTCCACAGGATGGGGTTTGTTAAAGTTGTCAAGAATAAGGCCTACTTTAAGAGATACCAAGTGAAGTTTAGAAGAAGACGAGAGGGCAAAACTCATTACTGTGCTCGGAAATGCTTGGTGATCCAGGACAAAAATAAGTACGACACACCTAAATACAGGATGATAGTTCGTGTAACTAACAGAGATATCATTTGTCAGATTGCTTATGCCCATATTGAAGGGGATATGATAGTCTGCGCAGCATATGCACATGAACTACCAAAATATGGTGTGAAAGTTGGCCTAACAAATTACGCTACAGCATATTGTACTGGCCTGCTGCTGGCCTGCAGGCTTCTTAATAGGTTTGGCATGGATAAGATCTATGAAGGCCAGGTGGAGGTGACTGGAGATGAATACAATGTGGAAAGCATTGATGGTCAACCTGGTACCTTTACCTGCTATTTGGATGCAGGCCTTGCCAGAACTACAACTGGCAATAAAGTTTTTGGAGCTCTGAAGGGTGCTGTGGATGGAGGCTTGTCTGTCCCTCACAGTACCGAACGATTCCCTGGTTATGATTCTGAAAGCAAGGAGTTCAATGCAGAAGTACATCGGAAGCACATCATGGGTCAGAATGTTGCTGATTGTATGTGTTACCTAATGGAAGAAGATGAAGATGCTTATAAGAAACAGTTCTCGCAGTACATAAAGAACAATGTAACTCCAGACATGATGGAGGAGATGTATAAGAAAGCTCATGCTGCTATAGGAGAGAATCCAGTCTATGAAAAGAAGCCGAAAAGAGAAGTTAAAAAGAGGTGGAACTGTCCCAAAATGTCCCTTGCCCAGAAGAAAGATAGGGTAGCTCAAAAGAAGGCAAGGTTTCTCAGAGCTCAGGAGCAGGCTGCTGAGAGTTAAACCAAATTTCCTATGAAGATTTTTCAGATGACAACCAATAAACGTATTCATCAAGCAAAAAATAAAAATAAAAATAAAAATAATTCACTCCTGAACGTTTAGTAATCAGGATAAATAGTCCAGCATTTTTTTGTTTGTTTTGGACAGGTTCTCGGTATGTAGTTCAGGCTGGCCTTGAATTCACTGTGTACCCCCAGCTGGCCTTGAATTCATGGCAATCCTCTGGCCATAGCCTCCTGAGTCCTAGGATTACAGCATGAGCCACCACGTCCAGCAATATAGCATTTTCATGCAAACAGCCAGTACCCCTACATTTTAGAGGGCCCAGCTCTGGCCTTCTTAAAGCCAAGCCAGCTCACAAAATAAGATCTACCAGAAGATGTGCCCATGTGAAGCCCATAGAGCCATTTTCAGACCATACCCAAGACCCTAGAATTCCCTGCCCAAATACCTTTTTCCAAGTCCTATGTAGGCCTCCTCCCTCATCAGAACCACTGTGCACACTTCTAAATCCAAAGGATTACTATGAACTGCCTTTAATTTTGCCAGATAGGTCCTTTACCTTCACCTTTTTCTTCCTTCCTCCAAAAAAACTCCTCTCCCTTTGCTATATTAACAGTTCTCAAAGAAGCATTAATCATATCCTTTGACATTGAGGAAAAGATCCCTCAACCTGTAATTAATTTTGCATAATTACATCTGATAAGATGCTCCAGTGTTTTAATTGCAATACATTTTGTTAGGGCATAGGAAAGCCACAGCTTTCCAAACAATTGAGAAGTTGTGGTTCTTTTGCCATACTCCTACAACAGCCAGGAAGAAGAAAGATACGTGTCCTATAACATTTCTTCAAAGTATCTGGAAGAAAAAAGAGAAAGGAAGAGATTAACTGACTCAGTTTAACACTCAGAGCTATAAATCATGTGTTGCAATATGGTGATAGGATATTGCATCAGAACACAGTAATTGTAATAATGCAATGGGTATCACAACCTCAAGGAGGTCTTTTGGTGCTCTGTGCCTTTTTCCTAAAGATTTGGCTAAGTTTAGACCCCTTCTTTTCTGCTAAGGAGAAAAGTATTTAAAACCCATTGTACTTCACCGTAATTTTGTCATCATGGTTAGGGCAGGGGCATTTGTTTATAGTTGAAGGTCGACCTGGGTCAGACATCACTGCACTGAGCCCCAGCGTCTCTCATGTTTCCCCTTGTCACATGCAAGCAGGAAAATGCTGAGGTTTCTTCACATCTTCCTGGAAGTCTGTCAGGAAAGCTGGGAGGTATTATGGCAAGACTGAAATGTCTTTATTTTCAGAACCGTTAGTTTTGAAAGTGTATGTAATACTTCCTGAATGTTTCACATTGCTTTTATCTCAAGATTTGAAAGATAGTGACTAGGAATTTGTCTCTGAGAAACAAGAATGAAGGTTGATAGTAAGGATAAGTGTAAGAGGCATAGAGAATATTTTAACAAGATCTTTAATGTCAAGGTATTTGGTAATTAATTACTGTTTTTTAAGGTTTTTTAATTCTGCTGTATTGTAGGAGAAAATTCTTGGTGTTTGGAAGAATGAAACAAGTGAAAGAATACCAAAATTAAAGTTTATGTTTAAAACATAGGCTCTTGAGGACAGGACTGGTGTCTTAATTATTTGTTAGTGCAACTGATTTTATCCGTGGTGGTGAGTTTGGAGGTTTGAAGGAATTGAGGCAAAAGTCTGGCAGATGATGAAAAAAATCACTTTAATCCTGATAAAACTGCTTTTGGAGAGAGTGGTTTAAATTTAGATGAGACAGTAATCTTCCAGTAGGGAACTCTAGAATTAGTGAGGAACCCCCACCCCCACCCCAGTAACTACAGGTAGCATCTCTCCCCACAGGAGGGTCTGTCCCTGTAAAACTTCAGAGGAACAGTCTGATTCCCAAGAAAAGAAGTACAGGGGAAAGAGCTAACTAATACATGCTGTTCCTCTCTCCTTCTTAGTGAAAGTCACTCCTCCCTGTGGAAAAGGGGTTAGAGAAGACAGAAGTGTTTCTGCTCTAACTGCAAGCGGTAGAGGTGTAGTGAAATATTGTACCAGAATGGAAAACAGCAAATTTTAATGATTTGTGAATCATCGTCATCATTTACAGAATTATAGGCATGCTGTCAAGATAGTGTATGTGATAGTTAAGAGTATGGTCTTTAAGTTCATATCTTGTAGAAATATAGTTGAAGTATTTACCGGTGAACTGATAGGATGTCTGGGATTTACCTCAAGAACAGGGGTATAATGTATCCAAATTTTCCATGATGTTTTAGTTGTTGAAAGTCGTGAGTGAGTACGTAGAGTTTATTATATTTTCTTTAGAACAGTGAAGGCCTAGGTTAAATCTGAACTGTGCTCTTAGCTGTTGGACCTTAGCAAGTTAACCGAGTCTCCATTTCATAATCTATAGAATGAGAATAATTAAATCTACTGCATAGGACTATGTGATGATTTGGTTAAATTAAGCTACATGCCAATTACAAAATACATAGAGAGCACTTAAAAACTGATAGTTGTTATTATACCTGTGAAACAAAAACATATCAAGATAGTTTCTTTCTTAAACATGAAAGAATTTGCCTTCTTGCTGTATGTGTGTGTTTTCTCAATTTAAGTTATTAACTTGGATTTTTGTTTTAACAGCTCAGGTGCCTAAAAGGCCAGAGGGATTTCTCAAGCCGACCTCCTTTTGATGGAATCCACATTGTCAACCATTTAATAGGAGATGATGAATCATTCCATTCCTCTGATGAAGAGTTTATAGATAATTCCTTACAGGAAAGTGGCATTGGTTTTCCTTTGCACAGATCTGTCCCAATGTCTTTGGACCCCACTGTGGCAGATGGTAGTGAGAGTGAAACAGAAGACAGTGTGCTGCAGACCAGAGAGAGCGATCAAGTGGTTTCAAAGGAGCGGACCCCACGGAGAGAGTCGTATTCAACCACTGTCTGACCATCACTGTGACCTAGACTGTGGATTTCTTTAAGGGATCAGTTATCATATGATTAGGGATTTTTGGAACATACCTGGTTCATATGTACATATATTATGTTTTACAATCTTATCTGCCTTTTATCTTTGCCAAATCTTCACCACTGATTTTCTATTGCCAGAAAGTAGACTGTAATACGGTTAATGAGTAAAATAAGGTTCTAACAGTATTACTGAATATTGTTTCTTGTTTATAAAATGCAACTGTATCTAAACGTGGGAGCTGTTTTGAAGTTCAAAACTATGGAAAATATAATTTTCTCCAGACAAACTGCTCTTGTGCAATATTTTATGCTCTGTGAACAAATTGTATATTTATGTCTATTAATTTGTTTTCAAGGTTGTAGACTACAGACATTTGATCAAAATAGATACCTGATTTTCTTGTTTTTTTGTGTTTGGGGATATTTTTTCACTAAAATTACTATTTTATTAGTGACTCAAGGTTCTCAAACACAAAGCTTTTTTTCTGTATAATTTTATAAATACAACTTAAGTTACCTGTTTTGAAAGTTTTTGTTTCAATTTCTAATTTTTATGTGTGTCTAATGCTTCCTTGTGTTGGTTACTCGTCAGAGTAATAGATTAAAAATACATTATTTGTACATATTTATAACATTGAACATCATTTTATATGAGGAACATATATTTGCAAAATGACTGTTTTGAGCATTGTATCAGGATGTCTGTAAATAATAGGTTTTTAAAAACTAAAAAATCAGACATTAATATTTTAATAGCTTTAATGTTTTGCTTAGCATTCAGCACTACCAGATTCATAACCTGTTCAAAAACACTATTGGTGATATCTTCATGTATATGTAGCTAATCCATTTTTCATGATTAAAGAGGTTATAGCACATTAATTAGTGCTAATATTCTACTTACTATAATTCAAACAGGCTAAGGTCCAAGATGCACAGCAATTATATCTGCAAATCTATGAACATTATCTTAAGATTGTCTAGTTTCTATCAATAGATAAAGCCATAAAAATCCTTTTAAATTCTTTTGTATCATTTACACTTTTTTTTCTTAGAAAAAACTAAATGCCTGTTATTAATAAATTGGTGGAAATAACCAATTATACTTATCCTATGGAAAGACAAAAGGAATGTATTGACTGGATTCTTTCCACTCTCATTTTCATTAGCAGCTTGTGAAAAGAACAGCTATAGACAATAAGAGGAAAGTAAAATTCAGTTTATATTAAAGTACAGTTTTGCAGAGTATCATGTGTACAACAGCATGCATGAAACAATTATGATAGAAAGGAGTAGAAGAGACAAAAATAATTTCCTATCTAAAACCAGAAGTTAAGCCTTATGCTGCAATGTGGATTGTTTTTCCAGCAAAGTCTTTGTAGCTATTTGTCTGCCTGATAAATGAGAAGAAAATATGGCTTCTGTGTTTAAATTCTAGTGGTTGAGTTCTAGTGGTTAAATTCTATGGTTAAGTAATTTACCTGTGGTGACAAGCTAGTAATTAGCAGAGCCAAGATTTTAATCCAGATCTCTCTTGACACCAAAGCTTTTTAAAACATCCAGTTAATGAATTTCTCAGTTCCCTACTGTTCTGACAATATGACTTAAATAAATTTGATTTAAATATATTTCCTGAATGTTTGCACTCATAAGCTCTACACAGTTTTCAAGTATAGATACTACTCCTAGATTTGATACTACTTTCTAGAACCATAGTGCTTTTGGGATTCTCCTTTGAAATTCTTTACTGTCAGCCTAGAAGGCTGTTGATCCCCAAGTAAAGTGAGATAACACATATTAGTGTCTTGATCCCAACATCAAGAAACCTGAATGAGGCTGGAGATGTAACTCAATGGTAGAGCACTTGTCTATCATGTAAAAGACCCTGAGTTGGTTATCATTACTGCAATAAATAAATATAATTTGGGTGAACTATACAGCAAACTGCAGCCCAAGGCTAATTCCAGTCAGCTGCATGCTTTTACTTTTTTAAATAGAAAAAATTCAAGAGAATATTTTGTGACACATAAAAATTATATAAAATTAAAATTTCAATGTCCTTAAAGTTTACTGGAACACACCCCTACTTATCTGTTTACCATATGTTATGGCTGATTTTATACTATAATGGCAGAGTTGAGTAGTTGCGATGGAGACCATTTGGCCCACGTAGCATAAATATTTACTCTCTGCCCCTTGACAGAAAAGGTTTGCTAACTCTTGACCTAGCTACTCCAGAGTGTTATTTTTACTACTTTAGCTGAGCTTAATAGAAGATCAAACCATTTGCTTACTGTTGAGCTAATGATTTGAAATAATAAAATTTCCTCATGGATCATACACTGTAGAACAATTCAAGATAGAAAGTGTGCCAACTGCTTTATACACACCTTTGATTTTTGTTTTGTGGTGTTGGAGATTGAACCCAGAGCATCATTATGCATGCTGGGAAGGTACTCTATCTTTGACCAACATCTCCAGCCCAGCTATTTTATAAGATGAAGCCTTTGGTTCTATAAAAAATCTTGGAAGGACATCTGTATGTTTGGAGGAGAAAGAAAGGAATAAATTGCAGACTTTTAACACTGTTCTGAATCATTCCATTGATCATGATCTTTAGGATGTGCTTCATTGAGTAAATGTTAATTTAACTTTAAGAACATATTTCTAGAGTCACATTTGAATTTTTAAAGATACTAGAGAATTTCCTAAGTATTCTTTCTAGTTAGAAATTCAGTTTTAAAAGAACAGTGGTAAGGGGCCAGGGATTTAGCTCAGGGTTCTCACCTGCCTCGCAAGCACAAGGACCTGAGTTCGATCCCCAGTACCAAAAAAAAAAAATAGTAAACCTTAATTTGATGATTTTCTTATAATTTGGATAATGAAAAACTAGAAACACTTCTCATTTAAGCTCTTTGATTGAAGGTAGGCACAGTGCCATGTGCCTTTTTTCTAGCTTTTGGGAGGCTGAGGCAAGAAGGTCACTTGAGTCCCACGATTCAAGACTATCCTGGGCAACATGCTGAGATCACATTTCAAAATACACTTTAGAAGAATTTTAAATCTCCCTGGCTTTTAGGATGCAACTGGACAATATGCCCTGGTTTGACTCCATTTCATTCAAGTTAATGTAAATATGTCATTAAAGACATTTGGGGATTGGATTATGTTCTAATATATTTTAATCTCTGATTTTTTGGTTTCATTTAAATGTTATTCACTTAGCATTGAAAAGTATTATGGGGAAAGTGAATGAAATGACTCAATAGAAAAGCATGTTCCCTTGGGATAGTTTACCTTCCTGGTATCATTGCCACCCTAGGTTCATAAACTGAGAGTAGAAACCACAATGATCTGAGTAAGTGGAAATTGTATTGAAGTAATGAAACAGTTCAAGAAAACACATCAACAGACTTTTAAAAAATTATGGCAAACGTTTTTCTTAGAAAAATGGGCAAAGGTACAACTTTACACAATTTCTAATTTTTTTTTCCTAGATAATAGCCATTCAGCATTTAGTAAGACGTCAAGTTTAATTAACTGGCCAGTTACTTTTCCTCAGCTCTGAACATGATGCAGCTTGTTACTCTCCAGATAGTGCCTTTGATTGAAAATAAGGTCTAGACGTTTTGGAGTATATTATTTCTGACATCATAAGAAATCATTTGGTCCCTAATTTCTCATTTACATAATATACTGTAATATTCAGATTTAAAGTAAAATAAATACATGAATTGTTTTGGTAAAGTTCTTTCATGATGAGCTTGACTGTTGTATCATACCAGGCATTGACAACATTTCGTGAAATCAGTGATTTACTTTTTAAAACAATGAGTTTTAGGTTGAAAGTTCTGCTGCTTTACATTAACAAAATGTTTTTAAAATAATTCATTTTCATTTAATTCTACTGAAATTATAGAAATTAAAATTTCTAGTTAAAAGTAGAGTGAATGCTATTTATAATCCAAGTTTTTATATCACATCCATTGATCTACACATCGCTTTTCACTCCAAAGAAGAGTTGCTAGAATAATATATTCAGTATACTACAGAGATGCAAAGTTACAATGTATTTCATTTTGCTGTTGGAATTTTTTTATTATAACATTGTATGATAACCTGAAATGTTTACTTGTGCCTTTGCTTTAAACAATTAAAGTTTTCCATTTTATAAGCATTTGGTTCCTTAAACCATTCAACTTTAAAAGGGGAAGAGACTTCAAAACACTTGTTAAGGAATGTTTGGCCTATCGAGAGATTTGTCTTAGTGGGGTGTAAGATTTGCATTTGTGCTGTGTAAGTGCAGGGACTAATCCACCAGTGTACGCCACCCACATGTTTATGCCAAACAGAGACTCTGGAACACAACTGGCATTCAGTAAATATTTTTCAATTTCAGTTAAGGACAGATGTCTAGATTTGTTTTCTTTGGGAGCATGGTAACTTTTTGAAAATATCAGTGGCAATAATTTTATCTCCTGTAATACTTTAAGATATTAACTAATTCAATAAATGCATTCAAGTGTGCATGCTTTTAATATGCATATGGAAGGCACTATGAAAATTATGCCTCTGCCACTGTATCACATTGTTCATATCGTTTAGTTCACAAACAGTAGTTCACTCTGTTCTGCTCTGTGCCTGAGAGGATTTGAAGCACTTTATGAAGATACATGAAATATTACAATGTAGCTATATAGTCCAGGGTTTCTCTTTGGAACTATTAGCACTATTTGCAGCCAAATAATTCTTATTGCAGGTGGTTACCCCATACACTGTAAGATCTTTTGCAGCACCCTGGCCTATACCCACTAGATGCCAGTAGCACACACACACACCCTCCCCTTCAGCTGTGACAATTCTCCAGACTGTCAGATGTTACCAACAGGGCATACAGAATGAAAATTACCACTGATTGAGAACTAAAAGTTTAAAACTGGGTCAAAAAGGAGTCACTAGAGCCAAACTTAAAGAGATGAACGCCTATTGAAAATACAGCACAAATTTGACTCTAGTAGTGAAAATAAAATCTGGATCACAATGAGGTACCATTCCCTATTAGAATCACTATTGCAAAAGGAAAACAGCCAGGTGCAGCTGCACATGCATATAGTCCCACTGGGCCAGGAGGATCCTAAATTTGAGCCCAGGAATTCAAGACCAGCTTGGGCAACATAGTAAGACTTCCATCTTAAAAAAAAAAAAGTTGATAAAGATCTGGAAAAATCAGAACCTTGTAAATTGCTACTAGAACTTCAGAAATGGTACAGCCACTCTGGAAAAGTTTGGTGTTTCCTCAAAAAAGTTAAACATGACATCACCATATGACCCAGGAACTCTAGATACATACTTAAATGAAGGACTTGGGTAGTACTTACCAGTGTTCATAGCAGTATTATTCACAAGAGCCAAAAGGTGGAAACCAGTGTCCACCAACAGATGAATGGATAAATATAGCGGATACATACAAGGAAACATAGGATTCCACTTATATTAGATACCTAGAATAGGCAAATTCATAGAGACAAATGCAGTAGAACTTACCAGAGGGTGGGGATAGGTAGAGGGAGTTATCTGATGGATATAGAATGGCTGCTTGGAATGATGAAAGCATATAGTGATGACTGCAAAACACTGTACGTACTTAATCCCACACTGAATTGAACAATTAGAAATTACTAGTATTAAAAATACTAGGCCTGTTTTAAAACTTAGCTTATAAATTATTCACTTATAATTTTAAAAGGTAAAACCTGAGGACCATTCGCAATGCTCATAAAATTTTAAAATATGTTTACTTGTAGAATTTTGGCACTAGGACATGAGCTTAGTGTTGATTAAACGTGAACAAATAGAAATATATGGCCTCCTTGCTATTCCTTGTATACACCAGACCCCAGTCAGGGCCCTGCCCTCCCTTACACGGTCTGCCAGATTCCACAAAGCTGGCTGTCTACCTCCTTCAGGTCTTTCTCTGCTCAAGTTTCACTGCAAAGAAGTCTTTTCTGACCTCCACGCCCTTTTTTTTTTTTTTTGTACCTGGGATTGAACTCAGGGTCTTGCACTTGCGAGGCAGGCAGTGGAACCACTGAGCTAAATCCTTGGCCCCCTGACCCTTTTTATAAGCCTTTTCACATAGCCTGGCATGGTGACACACACCTGTAATCCCAGCACTCGGGAGGCTGTGGCCAGAGGATCACTGCAAGTTTGAGGCCAGCCTGAACTACATAGCAAGACCCTGTCCCAGTGAGTGAATGAATGAGTGAGTGCATGAGTGCATGCTAGCCTATTCCCACCTTTACTTTTCTCCTCAGTAATGATCACTCCCTGGCATCCTTTGCATTTTACATCTTCCTTTGCTTGTTATTTATCTCTTCACCCTAGAATGAAGCTTCATGAATACAGAGAGCATTCACAACAGTGTCTTGGCTCTCAACAAATATTTGTTGATTTAATAGTTCACTTTACCTCAGTTTCTCGACTACTAAAATGAGATGAACATCTGTAAAATACAAATGTCAGTGGAAAACACAGAATTCCAATGCAGCCAGCCTAGCTCCAGAGACTTTTAATTACTGAATGCTGCTCTGGTTCAAGGCACAGACCAGCTCCTGTCTGCCTGCACAGCTGGGATGAGAGAGGATGGGTACAGCTGTGATGCCACAGGAATTTAGAGATTTCATCCAGCGTGGGAGAATGGCCTCTTTCCTGTCCCTGCCACACTCCTTGCATGGTGCCCCCATTCTCTCCTATTTTATGACCTCACTTAGGTGGTAATGTCACCTGATTGGGTCTATGGTTATACCTCTACTGCACAGTAGATTTTACCAAGAGTGGAAATGAAGCATCTTAAACTGTTGGGGGGGGGGCACATAGAATCTGTCTTAAGTCCTCCTGAACTCTCAGAAAGTAGCTGTTACTGTGTCTGCAGCACAACTGGAAAGCTGCCTCTCCTCACTCCTATTGCTGGGCAGGCACTTACTCAAAGATTGCAAAGGGTTTTCTCTGAGGCCATCCTCAGTAACAGGAGACAGCCTGAGATGGAAAGACACTAGTTAACTTCAAAGATGTTGTTTCTCTGATTTTTTTTTGAAAGGAAGTGCATACTGTACACATGAGAGACTCCAAGCCTGAGAGATGCTTTGGCAGTTGAGATGCACCTGGAGCTCCTAACTGTTCCCCGCCTCTGCTTTGGGACAGGACTGGCAACCATTGCACACAGCCCTACCTCTGACCAGAGCAGAGCAGCCAGTGCAGGCATTGTGCCTGGGGCCTCATCTCTTCCCCCACCAAGGGGCTCTTCCTCTCCAGCAAAGTCTCTACTGGTCTTGCTTATCACCTCTGGCCCTCTCACAATGAGTCCTGGACCAGGCGCTTCTCAGTGCTGGCTGTGCTTCTACTCTCAAGGCACACTGTGTCTGGACCTGCCTAACCTCAACCAGGCAGTCTTCTTCACGGGTAGAAGAGAGAACATCTTTTTCCCCACTCATCTGCATTGTCATTTCTGTTTCATTTGTCTCAAGATCTAGCTTCTGCCTTTGTGCTGATCACTGAAGCACAGGATAATACCAACCACATGCCATTTACAAAAAGAAAGTCTTAAAACTTTTGGTCCCTGAATAAATGTACATCACTGCAGACTCTTTACCCAGATAAACTTGCAGTCAGGCTTAGACTGCTTAGCCTAAAGGAGCTTGGGCTACATCTCTCTCCCCTACCCTACCATCAGCCTGCAGAGCTGGAAAAGCGAACTGTCAGGTGAGGTGATGGAAAAACAGAATGGGGAGCTGTGGTGTTAAGCAAAATTTTATAAACATAAAGTAAAATTTCATGTATTTCCTCCCAGGTAACACTCAGTCACTTCAATGGCTAACCCCATAACCAGTTCTGCCTTTGCCTGGCAAACTGCCTTGCAGTCGTGCATTTTGGAGGGATGTTCCTGGCGGGCAGTTCCAGGGCCAGGGCTGGGATTTGAGTAATCACAGGCCAAGCGGGGTGTGTGGGAAGCTGTGCTGTTTGGTCTGGCTTGCAGCCCCTGACACTGTAACTATTTTAAACAGATCCCACAACCTTTCATTTGCTTCACTAATTTCTCTAAAATAGAATTGTTTATTTGTGGGTCAAAATTGGAGAAGCTTCTTGTTCATCACCAAACTGTTCTTTGGTGAGACTGGAGACAATGCTCGCAGTGGAGTCAAAAGGACTTGGCACACAGTATGTGCTCAGTCAGTGTCAGCCACTATGCCTAGCTGAATTCTTAGGAAAGTTGCACGATATATCTGTGAATTCCCTTGAACCAGTACAGGCCTTTCAGTAAATACAGTGGACCCTTGAGTTATGACCAGTCTGACAAATGAACAACGTGGGTTACAACTGGAATTTTAGATTTAATTTATGCCCAAAGTCTTGAATTACAACCCGAATGCTGGCCATTTGTGCTTCCAAATGGTCTCAGATACAGATTTAACCCTTAAAGAGCTCTGGAAGGAATATTACAACATCCCTTCCTGTGTGGAGTTAATTGAGAAATCCTGGGCCAGTGTCTCTCTAAGGACACTGAGACCTGCCTGTATGCAGGAGAGAGACTTTGAAGGCTGTGTAGAGGAGCCTGAGTCTTCAATTGACCAATTTGTGTTACAACCAGCCCTCATGAACAAA